GCATATAACCACCCTTCTAGAGCTTATTACCTCCCATTTAGAACTTATTTCTTCCCTTCTAGAGCTTATTACCTCCCCTGTAGAGCTTATTTCTTCTCTTCTAGAGCTTATTACCTCACTTGTAGAGCTTATTACCTCCCCTGCACAGTTTATTATCTTCCCTGAAGAGTTCTGACTTTTGATACAGAATTACATGAAGATTAAGGTCTAGTATGATGTGATTGTCATAGTTTCCTCTCTGAGTCTTATTTGTGCCGGAATGTTTGTTTTATTGTGCTATTGTGTTACCACAAATTGTGTTGATAATTGAACAAGTATGTCAGGCCAAAGCTTTGGATGTCAGAGGTGATAAACTATAGAGGACAGAGCATATTTATACCACGTGAGTCCACTTAACTCTCCAAATCCTCGTTACTGCTCACTACCATTAACTGTGACCAAACAAAAACAGATGTCTGACAAAAAAATGTGGAATAGTTAATATTGTCACGAAGTTTTATTTGATAGTGTCAAATCTTATTTACATCTGCATATATTTTCAAATGTTTCTTTTAAACCCATTCACCCCTTAAAAAAATCATAAAGAAATTAAATATTACCATGATTAATTAATCACATTAAACCTTCAAAAATAACTTTTTCAATGCCAAGAGTTTGTAATTGAAATTTTTTACAAGAATTTGAGTTTTTGTAAAATATCAAAATATCATCTGTATAAAACTTGGTTTACGATAAACGTCAATCATCTTTGATTTCATATCGGATCAAATGTTTGACTGTGTCATCCGAAAATCATGATCAGTCTGGGTAATTTAGTAAAAACTGACAGGCTTTATATCTTTAGAATAATATCTATAATGTGACTATAGGAGAACCTAAACGAGATACAACAAATCATAAATTTATTTAGCTTGTCTACCAAGTCAGATACATACACATTTCCATGGCAACAGACAGCAGCAGATTTGTGTCCTTGGTTAATAGGGCCAGGATTTGTCAGGAGTATACCCAGACATTTATGACTGGAGTAGATTCCTGGGCCAGGATTTGTCATGAGTGTACCCAGACATTTATGACTGGAGTAGATTTCTGGGTCAGGATTTGTCATGAGAGTACCCAGACATTTATGACTGGAGTAGATTCCTGTGCCAGGATTTGTCATGAGAGTACCCAGACATTTATGACCGGAGTAGATTACTGGGACAGGATTTGTCATGAGAGTACCCAGACATTTATGACTGAGTAGATTCCTGGGCCAGGATTTGCCATGAGTGTACCCAGACATTTATGACTGGAGTAGATTCCTTGGTCAGGATTTGTCATGAGTGTACCCAGACATTTATGACTGGAGTAGATTTCTGGGTCAGGATTTGTCATGAGAGTACCCAGACATTTATGACCGGAGTAGATTACTGGGCCAGGATTTGTCATGAGAGTACCCAGCCATTTATGACTGAGTAGATTCCTGGGCCAGGATTTGTCATGAGAGTACCCAGACATTTATGACCGGAGTAGATTACTGGGCCAGGATTTGTCATGAGAGTACCCAGACATTTATGACTGAGTAGATTCCTGGGCCAGGATTTGTCATGAGTGTACCCAGACATTTATGACTGGAGTAGATTCCTTGGTCAGGATTTGTCATGAGTGTACCCAGACATTTATGACTGGAGTAGATTCCTTGGTCAGGATTTGTCATGAGTGTACCCAGACATTTATGACTGGAGTAGATTCCTTGGTCAGGATTTGTCATGAGTGTACCCAGACATTTATGACTGGAGTAGATTCCTGGACCAGGATTTGTCATGAGAGTACCCAGCCATTTATGACTGAGTAGATTCCTGGGCCAGGATTTGTCATGAGAGTACCCAGACATTTATGACTGGAGTAGATTCCTGGGTCAGGATAGTCAATACTTTACATCGCCTATAGCAGATCCTCTTTACCATTAATTCCTTTTTCTCACCTCTCTTCTGTGTCCCTTCCCCATCTTCATTGTCACCTTACAAAGTTCCCCTAGTTTTCCCCTCCCTCCTCTCTGATTTGTTGTATCTTTCCCTTGTTTTCTCCTAACTTTCTGCCTTGGGTTATTTCTCAACCTAATAATCCAGCCATCATCTCTCCCATTAGATAATTAGACCATATTGTCCACAGTAGATAATTCAGTCAGCTTTAACACTTGTAGATAATCCAACTACCTTTGTTCCAAGTAGATAATCCAGTCACCTTTGATCCAGCCACCTTTATTCTCAGTAAATAATCCAGTCACCTTTGTTTTCAGTAGATGATCCAGCCACCTTTGTTCCCAGTTAATAATCCAGCAACCTTATTTCCCAGTAAATAATCCAACCATCCTTGTTCCTAGTAAATAATCCAGTCACCTTTGTTCTCAGTAAATAATCCAGCCACCTTTGTTTTCAGTAGATGATCCAGCCACCTTTGTTCCCAGTAAATAATCCAACCATCCTTGTTAGGGCCCCGTATCGGAGATACGGGTGCCCTATAGTAATCACTCTGTCTGTCTGTCCGTCCACAAATTTTGTTCCTGGCTGATAACTTTGGTATTAATTGACCGATGTACATGAAACTTGGTCAAGATATTCAGTTCACAAAAATACACATTGAGGTAAAAAGTCAAGGTCAAAGGTCATGGTCATAAGGTTCAAAGGTCAAGGTCAAATTTTACTGATGAACATTTTGTTATGATAATATGAAGCAAAGTTGATCAGAATTAAACAATGAGTCAACTGACCAAAGGTCAAGGTCATTGGATCAAAGGTCAAGGTTAGATTTTGTATCATTTCACTGGTGAACATTTTGCTATGACACTTTGAAGCAATGTTGCTCAGAATTAAACAAGGAGTCAATTGACCAAAGGTCAACGTCACTGGGTTAAAGGTGAAGGTTGAATTTTGTACCTTTTCCCTGATGAAAATTTTGTTATGACATTATGAAGCAATGTTATTCAGAACTTTACACAGAGTCAACTGACCTTAGGTCCAGGTTACGAGGTGCAAAGGGTCAAGGTCAAATAGTCCAACCACCTTCTTTCTCAGTAAATAATCCAAATAATCCAACCATCCTTGTTCCTAGTAAATAATCCAACCACCTTCTTTCTCAGTAAATAATCCAACTACCTTCTTTCTCAGTAAATAATCCAACCACCTTCTTTCTCAGGAAATAATCTAACCACCTTCTTTCTCAGTAAATAATCCAAATAATCCAACCACCATCTTTCTCAGTAATTAATCCAACCACCTTCTTTCTCAGTAAATAATCCAACCACATTTCTCAGTAAATAATCCAACCACCTTCTTTCTCAGTAAATAATCCGACCACCTTCTTTCTCAGTAAATAATTCAACCACCTTCTTTCTCAGTAAATAATCCAACCACCTTCTTTCTCAGGAGATAATACAAATAATCCAACCACCATCTTTCTCAGTAAATAATCCAACCACCTTCTTTCTCAGTAAATAATCCAACCACCTTCTTTCTCAATAAATAACCCAACCACCTTCTTTCTCAGTAAATAATCCGAATAATCCAACCACAATCTTTTTCAGTAAATAACCCAGCCCCAGAAAATATTCAAGCTTCCTTTATTATGTCAGTGTTTAGCTGTTTGTACCTGGGTAAATAGGACCTTTTGTGTAGGACAACCAGGAGTGTGGTGGTACAATTGACAAGGATAGGTATCATGATTTTAGAGGTAACATTTTGAAATAGCTCAAATCATATGTATATATGGTGGTGGTTTTTTTGTATTCCTTGATGTAAGCAGAAGATGTCTAGCAGGGAAATTGGAATGAAGGGAAAGGATTAAGGTATTCTGTATATATCCTCTAAAATATAGGCATGTATTGAGTAATATATTATAGCCCCAGACACCAGACTCATCAATTAAAATCGTAAAGAACAGATGACACAAAATCAATGGCTCTGATGCATGGTAGGTAGATTAGGGTACATAATCTCAACTATATAGGCCGAGGTATCCTATCAACAGTAACAGATGTCAACAGTGTGTATTGAAATGACACATACCTGTACTGTATAGCTCATTTACTGTGAATATTCTGCTTGTTAAGTATTATTATTCATTTACTCATTAAGAATAGTTCCTCCCTTGCGATGTTCTCGCTAAAAATAAATATTTGGCCCCCCTTTCCAACATCTATGTGGCAGAAGTGGGTGGTCGGGTGGCGCAGTGGATAGCGCACTTGCCTTTCACCAAAGCGACCGGGGTTTGATCGGATGTGAAAAGGTTTGGGGTCACCTGCACAACCACATGGGTTTTCCTCGGGTACTCCGGTTTTCTCCCACACTAACCCCCCCCCAACCCCCCCCANTTACTTTTTGAAATGCTGCGTATGAATCAGGCCATGAATTACCTACTCTCGGCATTCCGAGCAACCCGAGTGGAAATTGGCAAGTCTAAATCGAGCGCACTGGATATTCCGTCGCCCAACATTAAAGCGAACGCACTGGATATTCCGTCACACAACATTGAAATTTTCTTCATATAGTTGTATGCAACAGTGCATTTTTCAAGTTATCAGAGCAGCCAGGAGAGTCCCATAAGGCCATAACGACAGCCAGGAGAGTCCCATAAGGCCATAACGACAGCCAGGAGAGTCCCATAAGGCCATAACGACAGCCAGGAGAGTCCCATAAGGCCATAACGACAGCCAGGAGAGTCCCATAAGGCCATAACGACAGCCAGGAGAGTCCCATAAGGCCATAACGACAGCCAGGAGAGTCCCATAAGGCCATAACGACAGCCAGGAGAGTCCCATAAGGCCATAACGACAGCCAGGAGAGTCCCATAAGGCCAGTCCCATAAGGCCATAAAGACAGCCAGGAGAGTCCCATAAGGCCATAACAACAGCCAGGAGAGTCCCATAAGGCCATAACGATAGTTCATAACTACCCAAACATATTTAATGAGCAAGAATATCTTACACGCATGCCTTACTTTTGCAATTCTTGGTTTTCCAGGCTGTATTAGCGGTGAGAAGATGTCCCACACCTGCCTCAACTACCAGTACTGTGCCAGTCAAATAGAAACAATCGCTGACTTCAAGATCTGCTGTTGCCATGGACACACCTGTAACAATTACTTCAGTGAAGCCCAGTTTGAAGTAGGGAAGCGTGAAAATCAAATGTTAAGTAAGTACATACACCTTTGTCGGTCAAGTGTATCCAACACATTTTGTGTGTGTGACTATTTGCGAGTCAATGCCCAAAGGTCAAGGTTATGTATACGTTCTGACTATGAAATTCTTGTCTATGTTGAGAATGTTTGAAAATTAAAACATTTAGCATTTGCATATAGGACCTGTTGTAGACTTGTATACCTGCCAGGAGAATTGTTAGTAGTGTTCTTAATAACAAAAATATCTAGTCGGAGAGAAGCAGGAAAAATAACAACAGAATGAAACGATGCACAACAGATCATGGACTAACCATTTCAAATATGGTTTATAAATTACCTAAGTTTGTATTTAAATCGACTTACATTTCCTTTGTCAATTAGGTGTAGCTGATATTCTATTGTTCTGGACCCTTGTTTTGAGACATTGGCCATTTTGATAACGAAGAACTCAATACAAACAAAAGGGAGATAACTCTGGTAAAAACTCAGTACAAACAAAAGGGAGATAACTCTGGTGAATATCAATGTTAGTCTTCCTGTAACCTTTCCTTTATTTGACTTCTTCTTTCTATTATGACTGCAATGAGTGAATATAATTATATGTATCTATGAAAAATATTTGTAATTGCAAAAAAAAATCTAACAGAAATAATGATAATGATTTTTTGTAAATTCAATTTCATATCTTACTCAGGTGACCAAGCTCAGAAACCAGCAATAAAGGAGAAAACAGCTTCACCAGGTAAACTTCATCTATTTATAGTTATAATGTAGAGAATCATGTACCATCAATCTATTACAGACGTAAATATGTGTTAAAAAAATGATATGAAGATGTACATGTAAACGTTCATATTCGGGGATCGGTGGCTAAATAGATTGATGGTCGGTTGTCAGCGATTATTGTTTTAGTATCTATAAAATTGTCATTGATTTTGTATTAAGCTTAGGGGCATTTAGTTCCCGTAAAATTGTCGTTGATTTGATATTTAGTTGGGTGACATCATTTCCTCCATATATAATTGTCATTGATTTGATATTTAGTTGGGTGACATCATTCCAACTCTATAAAAGTACAGTATAGCAGAAAAATTTGTGCTGCAGTTCAACTTTCACCTTTATTACCTTCCTTATTGAGAACAAATTACTACGACAGCAAATACTGGCATACCTACGGTAATTTCATGTGAAAGGCTAAATGAGTTCTAGTGGAGGAATGGGATGTTTTTTTCTTTTTAATGGTGAAATTTTGACTGGATGCATGTTTCTTATAGTGTACAATATCATTGATCTGTTAATAAGCATTTTGACTTAATAATAATCCTTCAAACATGTCATTGATTTGATAGGTGAATTTGTGACATCATATAATTAGTATTCACTCATAATAAATTCACAATCGTCCTGTCAAAATGTTGGATTCACAGATACAGCTTTTACACAGATTTTATTCTAACTATGGGAGTGTTTACATTTCCTCTGCTGTCAGCTCTATTATGTTAATTTAAGATACTATGATGCTTAATCTTTTGAACTATTATTGAGTTAAGGTGTTATGCTATCTTTCACATTAACACTGTGATCTTTAAAGGTGTTCTTTAATATCATAACAAACTTTTGTTACAATCAATCATAAAATGAATAAAGAAACTTTAAATAACCATTAATAAAACAACAGTACTATACAGCTTTATAAGTTGGGAACTCTCTTGGATCGGAGGTGTATAATAAAATGAAAAAAATGAAAATGAAAAAAGGACAATAATACCAGTATCTTATCAAAATAAATTAACCAGACTGTCAAAAAAGACAAAAAATGTAAGTTACTTTTATCGGTGAATTCAGTTGTATTTGAATTTTAAAAAAAAATGAAAAGTTTAAAATTTTGTTCTACTGTAGGAAATGTTGGATCAGCTTACTTGTGAAAAATATAAATAGCATTTCACCTCCTTTGGCTCTTCAAGCAAGCCCTGCAGGAGCAAATATGCTGGAGCATTGTAATCTTCAAAAACCTGTTTTTGTCCTTTCAACCGCCACAAGGACAAACTAAACCTATGAAGAAATATATATGCATAGTCTAATATGTGAGGTTTTGTATTCTGATGTAAAGATAAGTTTGCAGAGTGTCTGAGAAAAGTCATAACAGCGAAAATAGCTTGCAGTTAGGTGTCTCCTGTGAGCATTTAGACGGGTAGTTAAAAATATAACAGGATTATCATAGTTTAGTCGGAGTGAAGGAATACATACTGTGTTTAAAAGTGAGGGTTCTTGATCTATGGTGAACTGAAGTTGAGTACAGTATATTGTCAATGTTAAACCAAGCACTGGTAGGCTTCCTCTCCTTACATTATGTATTTCTCTTCCTCAGTATTGTGTCGCTGTGACAATCAATACCCAAATAATCTGGAAGCTAACTCCTGAAGTGTCTTCTAGAATCGATGACGAAGGAGGTTTGAAGATTTTATCTTACCTTACTGACTTGAAGCTAAGGCTACAGACACATTTGTCAGCGATGTTTATTCGTGATTTCATCAACTTTCCAGACAAGTCCGATTGCTCATCAGTCAGAGCGTGATTTGGTTATCTGTACAGTGATACGGAAAAATAACATTTTTTGTGTTGGCTCCTATTTGTTTCGGCCAGTCGTAGAAAGCTCAGAAGAAAACTTACTTATAAAAACCAAATAGGATGATGGTAGGGACTATGATGACAATGAAATCATTGCCTTGGTATAAAGTTTCTCGGAAATTAAGGTAGAGAGGAAGACAGACTCCGATTCTGATGTTCTTTTTGATAGACTTACATTTTCATTTTTCACTTATTATCATTAAATCCCTTTACTTTTTCAGTATGTCTAGTAGTGGTAAACTTTGCAATTTAATAATCATTTTGACATTTTTTGTAGAGTTATGCCCCTTTACATAAAACAAATGTCCTGACCACTTTCTCCCAAAGTACTGCAAAGATTGTGGTGAAAGTTTGTAAACTTTTTCAGGATGCAAGATTTTCGTTAATGATGCAATTTCTAGGTTTTATAACCACAAAGTTTATATTATAGACTGACCTCTCACAAACAAGGTTGACCTCTAGCAAACAATGTTGACCTCTCACAAACAAGTTTGACCTCTAGTAAACAAGGTTGACCACTAACAAACAAGGTTGACCTCTCACAAACAAGGTTGACCTCTAGCAAACAAGGTTGACCTCTCACAAACAAGGTTGACATCTAGTAAACAAGGTTGACCTCTAGTAAAAAAGGTTGACCTCTAGTAAACAAGGTTGACATCTAGCAAACAAGGTTGACATCTAGTAAACAAGCTTGACCTCTAGTAAACAAGCTTGACATCTAGCAAACAAGGTTGACATCTAGTAAACAAGGTTGACATCTAGTAAACAAGGTTGACCTCCAGCAAACATATACTTGCCAACTCTTTTTAACATTTCCACGGTGGAGATTACCCCTGCTCAGAAAAATAACACTTCATAATGGCATTGTTTGAGATGAAATCATCAGACCTTAGAAAATAGGAATAGTTTAGCAAATTCACTGGTTGAAAATTGAGAGATTCCCTCCTAAATAGGGAACGTTGGCAAGTATGGCTACAAGGTTGACCTCTAGTAAACAAGGTTGACCTCTAGTAAACAAGGTTGACCTCAAGCAAGCAACCTTTTTGGTGAAGTTCGATGAATCTGTCTCCTTTTACCGTAGTGATATTACTCAATTCTGTGATGGAAAAACCTAAACAGATATCCTTTAAAACAAATTGATCGCTATGCATTTTGCCAACCTGCATGAATATTTTATAAAACAAGGAGACGTTTGATTGATTCTGTTGAATAGTGCACTCAACCCTGTGTGGTAGTCATGCAAGAAAAAGAAATGAATCGTATATTATGTCATTAGAGAGAAATTTAGGTATTGGAATATTATTCTTAAAGGAGCACCACTGTACCACTGCCAAAAGCTGTAACTACAGATTGGAAATATTTTTTTACTGGAAGGACAAAAGCTTAAGTTTATTTCTGAAAAGAAACTGATACTGTGCAAAAACTTCAATGAAAAAAAATATAATTGGAAATAAAAAAGAATCAATAACAGTGTTCTGAGAGTAAGGATGCCACGTGGCCTGACCAGGATTGGAACCCTGGCACTTGCAATCACCATCACTAATATGAAGGAGCTACGTAACCGGTCGTAGATTCAAGTCCTACTCCCTTTTGGTTGGCCTTAAGTGTAACAGGGAACTTCATTTTAAGAACAAAGTCAACCTTGTTGAAATTTGTTGGGATAGTCAACAAAAAAAAATTCTTGAAAAAATGCTAAAGATGGAATAAACATATCGGGGATTCAAAACAATAGCAAACAACATCAGATAACCAAAGTAGGCAGGTTCCTAATTATACAACATGACATTAATGGAGGTTTTGATTTAAAAACATAACTTACAACTTACTGTTTTGGGTGTAAAACGTATCTTACAACTTACTGTTTTGGGTGTAAAACATCACTTACAACTTACTGTTTTGGGTGTAAAACGTCACTTACAACTTACTCTTTTGGGTGTAAAACATCACTTACAACTTACTGTTTTGGCTGTAAAACGTCACTTACAACTTACTGTTTTGGGTGTAAAACATCACTTACAACTTACTGTTTTGGGTGTAAAACATTACTTACAACTTACTGTTTTGGCTGTAAAACGTAACTTACAACTTACTGTTTTGGGTGTAAAATATCACTTACAACTTACTGTTTTGGCTGTAAAACGTAATTTACAACTTACTGTTTTGGCTGTAAAACATCACGTACAACTTACTGTTTTGGGTATAAAACAAAACTCACTGTTTTGGCTTTAAAACGTACGTAACTTACAACTTACTGTTTTGGGTATAAAACTTAACTTACAACTTACTGTTTTGGCTTTAAAACGTACGTAACTTACAACTTACTGTTTTGGGTGTAAAACTTAACTTACAACTTACTGTTTTGGGTGTAAAATGTAACTTACAACTTACTGTTTTGGCTGTAAAACGTAACTTACAACTAACTGTTTTGGCTGTAAAACTTAACTTACCACTTACTGTTTTGGGTGTAAAACGTAAGTTACAACTTACTGTTTTGGGTGTAAAATGTAACTTACAACTTACTGTTTTGGGTGTAAAATGTAACTTACAACTTACTGTTTTGATTGTAAAACGTAACTTACAACTTACTGTTTTGGGTGTAAAATGTAACTTACAACTTACTGTTTTGGGTGTAAAACGTACGTAACTTACAACTTACTGTTTTGGGTGTAAAACATAACTCACAACTTACTGTTTTGGGTGTAAAACATCACTTACAACTTACTGTTTAAGCTGTAAAACGTAACTTACAACTTACTGTTTTGGGTATAAAACAAAACTTACTGTTTTGGCTTTAAAACATCACTTACAACTTACTGTTTTAGCTGTAAAACGTACGTAACTTACAACTTACTGTTTTAGCTGTAAAACGTAACTTACAACTAACTGTTTTGGGTGTAAAACGTAACTTACAACTAACTGTTTTGGATGTAAAACAAAACTTACTGTTTTGGCTTTAAAACGTAACTTACAACTTACTGTTTTGGGTGTAAAACAAAACTTACTGTTTTGGCTGTAAAACGTAACTTACAACTAACTGTTTTGGCTGTAAAACGTAACTTACAACTTACTGTTTTGGCTGTAAAACATCACTTACAACTTACTGTTTTGGGTGTAAAACATAACTTACAACTTACTGCTTTGGGTGTAAAATATTCGTAACTTACAACTTACTGTTTTGGGTGTAAAATGTAACTTACAACTAACTGTTTTAGGTGAAATGTCCTCATTTAGGGAGTTCTGTTAAAGTTTAAGGACCCCTGTACCACTGCCGAAAACTGTAAATGTGCATTGGAAACTGTTATTTTCGGCATGACTATAGCCTTGATAAATCATTTCTGAAAAGAAAATCTTACATCGCATGGTTTGGTTTGGTTTGGTTTAATATTGTTTAACGTCATATCAACAGCTACGGTCATTTAAGGACGGACCTCGCAGGGCCTTTAAGAAAAATCATGAAGATGAAATAAACTGAATATAATCAACAAGAGTTTTCTGAATGTAATAAAACTCAGCAGGACTAGACTGGGATTTGAACCCAGGACTTGAGATTGTTATACTTTCGCTGTAACCGATTGAGCTACCTGGTCAGATTGTTATACTTTTGCTGTAACCGATTGAGCGACCTGGTCAGATTGTTATACTTTTGCTGTAACCGATTGAACTACCTGGTCAGATTGTTATACTTTTGCTGTAACCGATCGAGCAACCTGGTCAAATTGTTATACTTTTGTTGTAACCGATTGAGCTACCTGGTCAGATTGTTATACTTTCGCTGTAACCGATTGAGCTACCTGGTCAGATTGTTATACTTTTGCTGAAACCGATTGAGCGACCTGGTCAGATTGTTATACTTTTGCTGTAACCGATTGAGCTACCTGGTCAGATTGTTATACTTTCGCTGTAACCGATTGAGCTACCTGGTCAGATAGTTATACTTTCGCTTAACAATTTTAGAAGAAATATGGTTTAAAATATTCAGTATGACATTATGAGTAAAAATTGTACTTTGGTCTTGACAGTTTAAGTGTAGAAACTGTCAAGTCCAAAGTACAATTTTTACTCATAATGGGGACGTGAACCTCCTAGCACTAAGTTTATGGAGGAAGCTATTTAGGTCGACTTTCCAATCAATAGTGATGATATGTTGTAATTGATAATAAAAACACTCGAATGGACTTAGGTCGTTTCTGGTATCCACTAGGAAAAGGTCAATAACTGAGGACGGAAATCTATAGTATAGTGGATCTGAAATATGAAAACATCCTGTTATATAACTGACAGCGTCAATAACTACAGTCACATTTGAACCTTACCGATCAAAGGCTGGACAAGTCCAGTGTAAATATGTAGGGGTGTCAGTGAGGTGATGATACCCTTCCTAACAAAGACTGCACAAGTCCAGTGTAAATATGTAGGGGGTCGAGTGTGGTGATGATACCTTCCTAACAAAGGCTGGACAAGTCTAGTGTAAATATATAGGGGTGTCAGTGAGGTGATGATACCCTTCCTAACAAAGACTGGACAAGTCCAGTGTAAATATGTAGGGGTGTCAGTGAGGTGATGATACCTTCCTAACAAATGCTGGACAAGTCTAGTGTAAATATGTAGGGGTGTCAGTGAGGTGATGATACCCTTCCTATCAAAGGCTGGACAAGTCCAGTGTAAATATGTAGGGGGGTGAGTGAGGTGATGATACCCTTCCTATCAAAGGCTGGACAAGTCTAGTGTAAATATATAGGGGTGTCAGTGAGGTGATGATACCCTTCCTGTCAAAGGCTGGACAAGTCCAGTATAAATATGTAGGGGTGTCAGTGAGGTGATGATACCCATCCTAACAAAGGCTGGACAAGTCCAGTATAAATATGTAGGGGTGTCAGTGAGGTGATGATACCCTTCCTTAGTTATTTTAGTTAGAAGTTTTGTTCCCATTTAATTCATTAACTCTTGTTGGCCTGTAAGAAAATTGTAAACAATATCATTAAAGACAATCTGGATTATATTTGTTCTCGTGTTTAAACTTCAGATGAACAAGCATGTGTACATATTACTGTGAAATCACTAATATTCGTGGGGTTTTTAATTTTGTTGATTTCTTGGGTAATCTTCATCCACGAATTCATAGGTCAACAAAGTTCTCCGTTTAGTGGGTACTTGTACTCCACAAATTCATGTACCGATGAAATGGGGTTTCGTCGAGGAAACCATGAAACTTGAGCCCCACGAAAGTATCTGATTTCACAGTATATAGACAATGTCACTCTGATTGTACAGTTATAATCACACTGTTTTATGGTAGATAACTATTATATTCATCCCTGGTTACTGCATAACAGGTCGTTTCAGTGAGAATTATTTTTAGTGATTTGATTGGGTAAATTTAAATGAAAATGTCCAAGGAATACAACCTTGACTTGTATGGGATAGGAACAGCACACAATTAAGTACAGAGATGACATTTGTATACCATGAGTAATTGTTGTTAGAAATTGACATGACAGTATATCACGATTGTAATTAAACAATTCAGCTGCAAAAATAAAAACCTTGGTTGAACATCGGAAAAATTAAAAATTGTCAAAATAGAAATTGCTAAATTTCATGATTCAGTTTGTGGATAAAATTCGGATTCTATCCTGGTTGGCAAAATGTTCTGGAGACAGAAATACTGTATGTATGTGGTAGTATGTATACTTAAGGTGTTGTGGCAGGTCTAGAACAGCTTAAAGTCACACGATCTGATTGACTTTACAGTGGACACAGAGGAATACACATATTGTGCTTATTACGATGGTGACAGTAATCAGAGGACAGGGGGGGCGATGAAGAATGACTCGCTCTCACTCAACGACTACGTTATGCAGGATGGTAAGACAGTGCGCTGCTCGAAAAAAGATTCCTGCTACACATTGTGGTACGGTGCTACGAACGACACCGAGGCCACCATCAACAGACAGGGTAAGATTGATGTTGGCGCCACCTATCTTTCAAATTCTTCTAGATGTGCTTATGGCATTCTGTCATCTAATGAATACACGATCTGTTCAATATTCATAATGTCCTTCAACCTTGTCACCTAGTAAAAATAATGATGATGTTTGATGAGTCGGGTTTTATATGACAATAAGGGGATTATGGAATGGTTTTGTCTGTCTGTATATCTGATGTTTGGTATGTTTTGGTATGATGTAAAGTTCGGACAGTTTTTCACAGAATTTGAGAAAGTTGCCCATTATAAGTTTATACACATCTGAGGCTATTAGCTAGTGCAACACTGCTTTTAGTGCTCTTTATCAAATTTTCAAATTGAGAAAGGCTTATTTCCTTCCTGTTTCTGGTCCAAATAATTTTAACTGTCAAGTTTGACAAAGTGTGAAAATAAAAAGACAGACACTCCAGTGGAGAATCTATACACAAGTAAATACTACTGTAATAAGTCTTTATCAAAACTGTCAGTATTAAACTTCAATTTTGTCCTTTTTTTCCAATTTTGATGAAACCTGTTGGCAAAAGGGGCAATGTCAATTTCTATCTTTATAGTTTAAAATATATATATATTATTTAAAGGTCATAGAGGTTATATGAATCTATGTAATCCTTCAGCTTAAGTTGGTAAAGTATAGTTCTCCATATTTCAGAAATAGTTGTTAACAATAAGTTTAGCCTTGGGTCTTGTTGACTTTGGATAACCTCGGCTTAGACAGAGTAGTACAGTACATTTCCATATTTTCATACGGTAAGATACAATAATGCATCACAAGGATTTAAAGTATGTCAGATTGGCATGGGACGGGCATATAGTGTTTTGCCCTATACAACTCTTGTTAATCTTAATACTTATTTATATCTATATTAAAGGCTGTTGGCGAACATCTTGTGAAATGGAAGAATGTTTTTCAAACCATCCAATCAAACTACTGGAAAAGAAAGACTACAAATTCTGTTGTTGCCGTGGAGACATGTGTAACACAAACTTCTCCGATATCTACGATCCGAACCAACACACAACACAGGACCCCATGCTTCCTGGTAAGTGGGTGTCATGGCTTCAATGATAGGAATAAAACCTCAAAAATTACCTCTGTTTATAAATATTTTGTTTTGAATGACCTAAAATCTTTAAATAAGGCGCAGCTTATTTTGTTTTTGGTAAGGAATCCCAGGTTTATTTTCGTAACCAGCCTTTCTTCAAGACTGTCTTGTTTTTCGAAGCCATTTTGATTGTAAGGCATGCATGGTCCCTTGTTATGCATTTTGAATTATACGGGATGATTGGAAAACAAAGATGGCTGGCAGGTGGCCGTATTGAATTTGGGAGTAAAATTTTATTAGTACTATTGCTCAAAACGTATGGGGGGATCTTTCTCAAATTTTACAGCACTGACTTTATCATCCTATAGTGTACAGTAATAACAGCACTGCCTTTATCATCCTATAGTATACAGTAATAACAGCACTGACTTTATCATCCTATAGTGTACAGTAATAACAGCACTGACTTTATCATCCTATAGTCTGATCAGGTCTTTATCCTTGTTGTAGCAGCCCACCTACTCGACACGGAGACATATCAGCTATACAAGCAGAAGACAATTATTATCTCCATGGTTTCCGTGTGTTCCGTTGCTCTCATCACCATAGGCATCTTCTTGCTCTACAAACTATTCCCCGGCGCTCGCAAGCCTCCTACTGATTTACTGGCCGAGGTGGAAGCTCCGCCCTCTTCAGGGCTCGATCTCAGTACCCTCAAACTCTGCACCCAGATTTGTCATGGTCGCTATGGTGATGTGTGGAGTGGATTCTTGGGAGAGTCACCTGTGGCTGTGAAAATTTATTCTTCAAACCACAAACAGATATACTTAAGTGAGAAATCCATTTACACTTTACCATTCTTTGAACATGAAAATTTATTAAAATTTTATGGAGGAGATGAACAGATACTTGATGGGACAACCCAGTATTTGTTAATTCTGTCCTATATCCCACTTGGGGCACTCCACGGATACCTCAAAACAAATACTATTGATTGGTCAACTTTCTGCAAAATGTGCCTCACTATCGCCAAAGGACTAACTCATCTACACTCTGACATCAGAAAGGGAGGTAAGTCCTGTTACAGTTAATGAACTCAATGGTTGTCTGCCACTGATCTGTATAATATGTAAACTTTGGTTGGGATAGATCTCAAATATATCAACGACTGAATTTGTATATGATTAAAATATATCAACGACTGAATTCATAGATAGTTAAAATATACAACATCAGCAAACAGGGACAAATTATACCACAGCATCTACACACAGGGACAAAATATACCGCAGCATCTACACACAGGGACAAATTATACCACAGCATCTACACACAGGGACAAACTATACCACAGAGTCAACACTCAAAGACTAAATATACCACAGAGTCAACACACAAAGACTAAATATACCACAGTCAACACACAGGGACAAACTATACCACAGAGTCAACACACAGGGATAAAATATACCACAGAGTCAACACACAGGGACAAACTATACCATAGAGTCAACACACAGGGACAAACTATACCACAGAGTCAACACACAGTGACACATTATACCACAGCGTCAACACACAGGGATAAAATATACCACAGCATCTACACACATGGATAAAATATACCACAGAGTCAACACTCAAAGACTAAATATACCACAGAGTCAACATACAGGGACAAAATATACCACAGAGTCAACACACAGGGACAAATTATACCACAGCGTCAACACACAGGGACAAATTATACCACAGCGTCAACACACAGGGACAAATTATACCACAGCATCTACACACAGGGATAAAATATACCACAGCATCAACACACAGGGACAAATTATACCACAGCATCTACACGCAGAGATAAAATATACCACAGAGTCAACACTCAAAGACTAAATATACCACAGTATCTACACACAGGGATAAAATATACCACAGAATCAACACTCAAAGACTAACTATACCACAGAGTCAACACACAGGGACAAATTATACCACAGAGTCGACACTCAAAGACTAACTATTCCACAGAGTCAACACTCAGGCATAAATTATACCACAGCGTGAACACCCAAAGACTAAATATACCACAGAGTCAACACTCAAAGACTAACTATACCACAGAGTCAACACTCAGGGATAAATTATACCACAGCGTCAACACCCAAAGACTAAATATACCACAGCATCAACACACAGGGACAAATTATACCAGAGTCAACACACAGGGACAAAGTATACCACAGCATCAACACACAGGGACAAATTATACCACAGCGTCAACACTCAGGGACAAATTATACCACAGCGTCAACACACAGGGCCAAATTATACCACAGCGTCAACACACAGGGACAAATTATACCACATCATCTACACACAGTGACAAAATATACCACATCATCTACACACAGTGACAAAATATACCACATCATCTACACACAGTGACAAAATATACCACATCATCTACACACAGGGACAAAATATACCACAGCATCTACACACAGGGATAAAATATACCACAGAGTCAACACACAGGGACAAATTATACCACAGAGTCAACACCCAAAGACTAAATATACCACAGCATCAACACACAGGGACAAATTATACCACAGAGTCAACACTCAAAGACTAACTATACCACAGAGTCAACACTCAGGGATAAATTATACCACAGAGTCAACACCCAAAGACTAAATATACCACAGCATCAACACACAGGGACAAATTATACCACATCATCTACACACAGGGACAAAATATACCACAGCATCTACACACAGGGACAAAATATACCACAGTGTCAACACACAAAGACTAAATATACCACAGCATCAACACACAAGACAATATACACTAGAGTGTCAGCACACAACAACAAATAAATAGCCACAGTGTCTATAAACAGGGACAAAATATACCACACTGACAAATATATCACAGCGTCGACAAGCATGGACAAAATATACCACAGCATCAACACACAGGGACAAAAAATACTTAAGTATATGCACATAGGGAAAAATATACCACAGTACCAATATTAACATACATCAATAAATTATCCCACAGCATCAAAACAGAGGGACAAAATATAATCAGAGCCCAGTGACAAAATAAACCACAGCATCTACACATAGGGACAAATTATACCACAGCATCTACACACAAGGATAAAATAATAACACATAGGGACAAAATATACCACAGCATCTTCACACAGGGACAAAATATACCACAGCATCTACACACAGTGACAAAATATACCACAGCATCTACACACAGTGACAAAATATACCACAGCATCTACACACAGTGACAAAATATACCACAGCATCTACACACAGTGACAAAATATACCACAGCATCTACACACAGGGACAAAATATACCACAGCATCTACACATAGGGACAAAATATACCACATCTTTACCCACAGTGACAAAATATACCACATCATCTTCACACAGGGACAAAATATACCACAGCATCTACACACAGTGACAAAATATACCACATCATCTACACACAGTGACAAAATATATCACATCATGTGCACACAGTGACACAGTGTGAAAAGGTTGAAATAAACCACAGCATCTACACACAGTGACACAGTGTGAAAAGGTTGAAATATACCACAGCATCTTCACACAGGGACAAAATACACCACATCATCTACACACAGTGACAAAATACACCACATCATCTACACACAGTGACAAAATATACCACATCATCTACACACAGGGACAAAATATACCACAGCATCTACACACAGGGACAAAATACACCACATCATCTACACACAGGGACAAAATATACCACATCATCTACACACAGGGACAAAATATACCACATCATCTACACACAGGGACAAAATATACCACATCATCTACACACAGGGACAAAATACACCACATCATCTACACACAGGGACAAAATACACCACATCATCTACACACAGTGACAAAATATACCACATCATCTACACACAGGGACAAAATATACCACATCATCTACACACAGGGACAAAATACACCACATCATCTACACACAGGGACAAAATACACCACATCATCTACACACAGGGACAAAATATACCACATCATCTACACACAGGGACAAAATATACCACATCATCTACACACAGGGACAAAATACACCACATCATCTACACACAGGGACAAAATACACCACATCATCTACACACAGGGACAAAATACACCACATCATCTACACACAGGGACAAAATACACCACATCATCTACACACAGGGACAAAATACACCACATCATCTACACACAGGGACAAAATACACCACATCATCTACACACAGGGACAAAATACACCACATCATCTACACACAGGGACAAAATATACCACATCATCTACACTCAGGGACACAGTGTGAAAAGGTTGAAATATACCTGTGTCAGCATCAGCACTCAAACACTCAAACAAAACAGCAGCAGCAAGCGTTGGAATCAAAGTTTCAGCATTTATAGGCTGATGTGATCTGGCTCATCTCCTAGCATCTCGCACACTTCTCCAGACAGAATAGCTTGTGTCTATTGCTGTATGCATGTTTATGTTTGAAATTATCAGCAGACATTCAGAGGACCTTAACAATTTCATGTCAGAAATTACTTAAGTACCCTTGCCACTTGAAGATAGAAATAGATGCAGTATGCTCCATGTCATAGATAACATTGTGACTATTATAGCCGCTTCTGCTTCTCTGTAATGGTGGGGACACACTTGTCCTGACATTAACTATTGTCAATAGATAATGGGAAACACAATCATACAATAGAGAAAAGCATCTCTATCATCGCTGAATTTTATGACAATTCAGTTGGGTAGATTTATCTGTAATTAGAACAAGTTGATGTAGCATTGAGCCTCTCTGTAATTAGAACAAGTTGATGTAGCAGTGAGCCTCTCTGGAATTAGAACAATTTGATGTAGCAGTGAGCCTCTCTGTAATTAGACCAAGTTGATGTAGCAGTGAGCCTCTCTGTACTTAGAACAAGTTGATGTAGCAGTGAGCCTCTCTGGAATTAGAACAAGTTGATGTAGCAATGAGCCTCTCTGTAATTAGAACAAGTTGATGTAGCAGTGAGCCTCTCTGTAATTAGAACAAGTTGATGTAGCTGTGAGCCTCTCTGTAATTAGAACAAGTTGATGTAGCCGTGAGCCTCTCTGGAATTAGAACAAGTTAATGTAGCAGTGAGCCTCTCTGGAATTAGAACAAGTTGATGTAGCAGTGAGCCTCTCTGTAATTAGAACAATTTGATGTAGCAGTGAGCCTCTCTGTAATTAGAACAAGTTGATGTAGTAGTGAGCCTCTCTGTAATTAGAACAATTTGATGAAGCAGCGAGCCTCTCTGTAATAAGAACAAGTTGATGTAGCAGTGAGCCTCTCTGTAATTAGAACAAGTTGGTGTAGCAGTGAGCCTCTCTGTAATTAGAACAATTTGAGGAAGCGGCGAGCCTCTCTGTAATAAGAACAAGTTGATGTAGCAGTGAGCCTCTCTGTAATTAGAACAAGTTGATGTAGCAGTGTCAGCCTCTCTGTAATTAGAACAAGTTGATGTAGCAATGAGCCTCTCTGTGATTAAAACAAGTTGATGTAGCAATGAGCCTCTCTGTAATTAGAACAAGTTTATGTAGCAGTGAGCATTAGAACAAGTTGATGTAGAAGTTAGCATTAGAACAAGTTGATGTAGCAGCGAGCATTAAAACAAGTTGATGTAGCAGTGAGCATTAGATCAAGTTGATGTAGCAGTGAGCCTCTCTGTAATTCGAACAAGTTGATGTAGCAGTGAGCCTCTCTGGAATTAGAACAAGTTGATGTAGCAATGAGACTCTCTGTAATTAGAACAAGTTGATGTAGAAGTGAGCCTCTCTGTAATTAAAACAACTTGATGTAGCAATGAGCCTCTCTGTGATTAGATCAAGTTGATGTAGCAATGAGCCTCTCTGTGATTAAAACAAGTTGATGTAGCAATGAGCCTCTCTGTGATTAAAACAAGTTGATGTAGCAATGAGCCTCTCTGTGATTAAAACAAGTTGATGTAGCAATGAGCCTCTCTGTAATTAGAACAAGTTAATGTAGCAGTGAGCATTAGAACAAGTTGATGTAGCAGTGAGCATTAGATCAAGTTGATGTAGCAGTGAGCATTAGAACAAGTTGATGTAGCAGTGAGCATTAGAACAAGTTGATGTAGCAGTGAGGCTCTCTGTAATTAGAACAAGTTGATGTAGTAGTGAGCCTTTCTGTAATTAGAACAAGTTGGTGTAGCAGTGAGCCTCTCGGTAATTAGAACAAGTTGATGTAGCAGTGAGCCTCTCTGTAATTAGAACAAGTTGATTTAGAAGTGAGCCTCTCTGTAATTAAAACAAGTTGATGTAGCAATGAGCCTCTCTGTGATTAGAACAAGTTGATGTAGCAATGAGCCTCTCTGTAATTAGAACGAGTTGATGTAGCAGTGAGCCTCTCTGTAATTAGAACAAGTTGACGTAGTAGTGAGCCTCTCTGTAATTAGAACAAGATGATGTAGTAGTGAGCCTCTCTGTAATTAGAGCAAGTTGATGTAGCAGTGAGCCTCTCTGTAATTAGAACAAGTTGATGTAGGAGTGAGCCTCTCTGTAATTAGAACAAGTTGGTGTAGCAGTGAGCCTCTCTGTAATTAGAACAAGTTGACGTAGTAGTGAGCCTCTCTGTAATTAGAACAAGTAGATGTAGTAGTGAGCCTCTCTGTAATTAGAACAGTTGATGTAGCAGTGAGCCTCTCTGTAATTAGAACAAGTTGATGTAGTAGCGAGCCTCTCTGTAATTAGAACAAGTTGATGTAGGAGTGAGCCTCTCTGTAATTAGAACAAGTTGGTGTAGCAGTGAGCCTCTCTGTAATTAGAACAAGTTGATGGAGTAGTGAGCCTCTCTGTAATTAGAACAAGTTAATGTAGCAGTGAGCATTAGAACAAGTTGATGTAGCAGTGAGAATTAGAACAAGTTGATGTAGCAGTGAGCATTAAAACAAGTTGATGTAGCAGTGAGCATTAGAACAAGTCGATGTAGCAGTGAGCATTAGAACAAGTTGATGTAGAAGTGAGCATTAGAACAAGTTGATGTAGAAGTTAGCTTTAGAACAAGTTGATGTAGCAGTGAGCATTAGAACAAGTTGGTGTAGAAGTTAGCATTAGAACAAGTTGATGTAGTAGTGAGCATTAGAACAAGTTGATGTAGCAGTGAGAATTAGAACAAGTTGATGTAGCAGTGAGCATTATAACAAGTTGATGTAGAAGTGAGCATTAGAACAAGTTGATGTAGAAGTTAGCATTAGAACAAGTTGATGTAGCAGTGAGCATTAGAACAAGTTGAGGTAGCAGTGAGCATTAGAACAAGTTGAGGTAGAAGTGAGCCAAATGTAAGAGTCTCAGATATAGCTATAAATAGACCAGCAGAGGCCAGGAGTTTCAGTGATGTAAACCAGGATGTCTAGATAAAAAACAAAATATCAGAAGAATCATTTCTTTTGACAAAAAAATCCTATTCTTCATTTCAAGAAATGGGGATATAAATGAGTTGTCATTTCATATGTTTATGAAATGGATATAGAAGTATTTGTTCTAGCAAGGTTTTGCCATCTTAAAAATAGTAAACCTACTTGATACGTCATCTACTCACAGTTGAAATATGTACAAAACTATACATTTGGTGATATCATTATCACATTGTTGTTTTCAAGGGTTTGGAGGCAACTTACAAAATACACTATTATTTGAACAATAAAACCCAAGATCAAGAGTTAAGATTCAGTAATTTAAAGTTATATTTAGCTTCAATAACGTACCACTGACGACATATTAAGAATGTTTGGCAGTTTTCAATTGTCCATATGATCAGTCACCTTTAAGGTCATGCTAGGGAGAGTTACTTTCACTGTCCCTCAGTAGAAGTCAATAGCTGTAAATGTTATGCATGTAGAATGAATCTCCATCACACATAGACCTGCCAAGTCACACACCATTTAGCCTGGCACTGAGCCATGTCTGACTAGACATGACGCTGTTACTACCTTCACCCTTTCGCTGTTACTACCTTCACCCTTTCGTACCAAGCATAGTCAGACACTCTACCACTAAGTAGCCTTACTAGTCAGACATTCTACCACTAAGTAGCCTTACTAGTCAGACACTCTACCACTAAGTAGCCTTACTAGTCAGACACTCTACCACTAAGTAGCTTTACTAGTCAGACACTCCACCACTAAGTAGCTTTACTAGTCAGACACTCTACCACTAAGTAGCCTTACTAGTCAGACATTCTACCACTAAGTAGCTTAACTAGTCAGACACTCTACCACTAAGTAGCCTTACTTGTCAGACATTCTACCACTAAGTAGCCTTACTAGTCAGACATTCTACCACTTAGTAGCCTTATTAGTCAGACACTCTACCACTAAGTAGCCTTATTAGTCAGACACTCTACCACTAAGTAGCTTTACTAGTCAGACACTCTACCACTAAGTAGCTTTATTAGTCAGACACTCTACCACTAAGTAGCTTTACTAGTCAGACACTCTACCACTAAGTAGCCTTACTAGTCAGACACTCCACCACTAAGTAGCCTTACTTGTCAGACACTCTACCACTAGGTAGCCTTACTAGTCAGACACTCTACCACTAAGTAGCGTTACTAGTCAGACACTCCACCGCTAAGTAGCCTTTCTTGTCAGACACTCTACCACTAGGTAGTCTTACTAGTCAGACACTCGACCACTAAGTAGCTTTACTATTCAGACACTCTACCACTACTCTACCACTAAGTAACCTTACTAGTTAGACACTCTACCACTAAGTCGCTTTACTAGTACGACACTCTACCCCTAAGTACCCTTACTAGTCAGACACTCGACCACTAAGTAGCTTTATTAGTCAGACACTCTACCACCAAGTAGCCTTACTAGTCCGACACTCCACCACTAAGTAGGCTTACTTGTCAGACACTCTACCACTACTCTACCACTAAGTAGCCTTACTAGTCAGACACTCTACCACTAAGTAACCTTACTAGTTAGACACTCCACCACTAAGTAGCCTTACTTGTCAGACACTCTACCACTAAGTAGCCTCACTAGTCAGACACTCTACCACTAAGTAGCCTTACTAGTCAGACACTCTACCACTAAGTAGCCTTACTTGTCCGACACTCTACCACTAAGTAGCCTTACTAGTCAGACACTCTACCACTAAGTAGCCTTACTAGTCAGACACTCTACCACTAAGTAGCCTTACTAGTCAGACACTCTACCACTAAGTCTTCAAATAACTTCTTCTTCTTAACCACTGATTGGAATTTAACTTAATTTGACTGGAAGCAACCCTAGGTGGTTGGGATTCAGAATATTGTACAAATGATTGAGCTGACCCCCCAGGGGGCTGAGGTGTGGGGCGAAAAAGGGTTATTTGGCTATACTGCTTTAAGCAACTTCTTCTCTGGAACTGAGCGATGGATATCAACCATATTTGACAGGAAGCATCCCTAGGAGGTGGTAATTCAAAATTGTACAAATGGTGGGGCTGACCCCCCGGGCTAAGGAGTGGGGTCAAAAAAAGTTTATTACTTGGAAATGGTTGAGATCCCCACTGTTTAACCATATATACAATTGCTGAGTATAAAGAGAAGAATGTACATTTGCTTCCAGGATGGCCCTAGGGTCTAGCTCTACCCTTGGAGACATAGTCCCTGGGTCATAACTTTAAAACGGTTGAGATCCTCACCCCAAAACTATGTATACAAATGATGGGCATAAAGAGACAAATGCAGTCATGATTTTAGAATAGACCCTGGAGTCTGACTGAACCCCTACGGACCTAGTTTCTTAGTCACAGCTTGGAAACAGTTGAGATCCCCACATTATAACCATATATACAATTGCTGAGTATAAAGAGAAATCTTTTGCTGATTTCAACAAAACTTTACAGACATCATAACTACCCCCTGATGTTGAGCACCTTGGTATTATTTTTTCATTTCCACCTTTTTTATAGAGTTATGGCCCTATTTGTCCGGATATTTTCTCCTAAACTACTGGGCCGATTTCAAATAAAGTTTACATTTATGGTAACTACCCCCTGACATTGAACATTCAAATAGTATGTTTTTATACCTGGTTATAATTTATTCATTTTCTTTTCATTTAAACTCTTTATAATAGAGGATAGATATTTCCTTTATGCTGATTGTGGGATGTGCGGGCGTCTTGGTTAGCCTCTGGATAACAGTTCTACTTCACGCTGCTTATGGTGTATCAATATTCATTTGTAGATTTATTTAAGCCATCGGTTGCTCATCGTGACATCAACTCCAGAAATATCCTGGTGAACTACGACCTTAGCTGTGTTATTGCAGACTTCGGCTTCGGGATTACAATGATGGGCTCCAAAATCATCCGCAACGGTCACTACGAAAATGCTGAACATTCTTCACTACAGGACGTGAGTAAAAACATCAACAGTTAAAATGATAGACACATGTGAATCACATGACTATTTACATTTAATGAAAATGATGTAATATTATTTGTTGTTAAGGGTGACTACCCATTGACACCCATTGACATTGTAGATTTGTGAAGGATAAACCTTGTGAAAGAATTAAACCATTCACCCCTAAAGTCAAATGTGAACCTTACCAAATCAAAGATTGGGCAAGTCCACTTTTAAATGTGTAGGGGTGAATGAGGTAATGTAAAAAAGTGAAATAATTTGCACTTGAAAATTTGCAGATTTTTTTTCCCCATGTAATAAAATTATATATATGAAACAAAAATAATGAGGGTAAAATTTGTATTAAGATGGTTGGTGTATATTGTCCTTTATATACAGTGTTGTATTCTACAATTGTTTTTCTGCCTCAGGTTGGGACGCTTCGATACATGGCTCCAGAACTTTTGGATGGTGCAGCCAATCTTCGCGAGTCGGAATCCTCCCTCAAACAGATCGACATGTACGCCTTTGGCCTGGTCATATGGGAAATGTCATCACGTTGTTCAGATTTATTCCAAGGTAAAAAACAAAATATGTGGAATTTATTTTCAGCATTGATTTATTGCTGGTAAAATAAAACGTGCTTGGAAAGACCTAATCGACAAAATCGTTTTTGTATTTTCAGCTCTTGAAAAATTGGAATAGATATTTTACAAAATGTACAGAGACATCCCCAAAATTTGAGGGGTTACGCTTGCTTACATTCTCGTCACGAATAAAACGGAAGGCTGTGTACACACCACCATGTTCGACCGATTTGATCTTTGATTTACATTAAGAACTACAGAGCAGTGTAACCGTACAATTGGCCGGCTTGGAAGTCGGGGGTCGCTATTCTGTAATCTTCAAAAGACCGGTATTAGCCTAGAAATTTGTTAGGGCTTTTTTAACCTAATTCAATAAAATCGCTAACCGTGTGCCTGGAATTTTGAGAATGGTATAGAAAAAGCATTTAACACACTCACAATGTTTATTTAAATTAAGTAAAAAACAAACAAAACAGTAAACACCTAGAACACAGGTCTTATTGTGTGGCCCAAAAATGATGACTTCAACAGGTTTTATTCCAGTAAAAAAGAGATAAATGAAAACGGGGGAGTTATGTAAAGGCCCTATGTGACTTTTATTTGAAAAATATAAATTGTCAGCTAGATTCGGACTTGTCGAAGGGACGGTCTGTTGTTTCAGACAGAACTGTACTGTCATACGTCGTGTTTGGTAACTATATTTGGCTGGACCAATATTCTAGGTCACAGACTATATATAGATTATAAATGTGCCCAGTCACTGACCACTGTGGCTACTGGCCTTTGTATGTCGACAAATGTCATTCAAATCTTGTAATATTATGAATATCCGGGGGAGGTTTGGGGTTGGATTCACTATCAATATAGCACATACACCTTATATGGTCATCCTCAATGTCGTAATTCTTTTTTAAACAGCAAATTAAAGTTTGAGTTTGGTCATCGGTGAATTAAAGGACAGCCATTTTCAGAGGTAGCTATTTTGTTTGGAAGCCTGTAAATGGAAAAGTGTAGGGGGCGCTTATAAAGGATGGTGAGTTTATTTGGTTGATTACTGTATGTCCCTGTCCCAGAGTCCGTGGTAAATTCCTCACAGTAATAACATTGAGCCCCTGTTTTTCCACAGGAGTCCCCACACCTGACTACATGCTGCCGTTCCAGAAAGAGGCTGGGAACCATCCAACGTTTGAGGAGATGCAAATTCTTGTTTCTCGTAACAAAGTGCGGCCAAAGTTTCCCGCAGTATGGAAGGATTATAATCAGGTAGGGAAACATAAGAACTTATCTCACCTGCCTTTGTTCCAAATGGATCTCTAAGGCATTCATATTACCGTAATTGTTGTCATTTTATCACCACATAGTTTTATGACGCACTCAGAGAGAAAAAAAGGAAATCGCAAGAAAATGACTTTAGAATTTATGTTAGCATACCATCTGTGTCGTCATAAAATGGGTTTTGTTCCAATTATTTCACAGGAGTATAGAATAAAACATGTATGTGACCCTGCTTTCAAATTATATACTTTGTTTGTATTTGGCCGATTGTTTGTTGACTTAACTTTGAACTTTGAACCAATCTTGTTTGTGTTGTAGGCTATCAGGGCGTTAAAGGAGACGATTGAAGACTGTTGGGACCATGATGCTGAGGCGAGATTGACGGCCATGTGTGTGGAGGAGCGTGTCTCTGACCTTATGACCTTGTGGTGCCAGGATTCTAAACACAAAGGTTTGTTTAAGATACGTCCATCATCATAGGAGTAGATTTTGTAAAAAAACCAAAAAAAAACATTGTAATACAATTTTTTTAAATTCTTGCTTAATCTGTTAAATAATAACCCTTATTTGTAGATTGATTATAAATCTGAATGTTTTAATTGATATAGAACTATATAATTTTTTTAAATATCATTTGAATATGTAAGGGTAATAACTCTCATTGTCTTGTAATCTTCCTTAGGTATGACGCCTACCATCACGACCACCAGTAATTTGTTTGAGCCGTTGCCCACAGACACTGTCGACCAGCAGGTGGAAGGGCACCAAAGTCAATGTCACTTAGCCAACGGACATGCCACCACGGGACTGAGAGAGCAGATTCCCAACACGCAGTCCGACAGCAGCACCGCCCACCTTCTTGTGTCGTCCCCGCCCAATAGCTACATCAGCAGCGACATGGTCAGTCAGCGCCCACCGTCATGGCGACAAGATTGGGGAATGTCCTCATCTACAACGGACACCATATTGTCGCCATCTGAAGGTGAAGTTCCGCTACCACCACAGAAGCTCATGAATGTAGCGATGGACAAAAATCAAACTGTCCTGCGTCCACACCAAGGCAGAAATCCAACAGTGGAGAGGAATACACATAAACGTAGCGATGAGGAACTGGCCGTATCAGGAAATCAGCTTGTGTACGGGGGTGACAAGCGTCTCGTTGAGACTGTTCAAAACGCCCCATCTAACATACAAAATGATGACACGTCATTCGACGGATTCAGTGACAATTTGGAAACTTCCCTTGTGCAAAATGACGTATTGAATCACCACCGCTCACATCCCATATCGTACGTCCAGAATCAAGTTCATGGTGACAATCATCCAGTGAGGCCAAAGGTCGCGAACGTACCAGTAAACAACCCTCAGCCTGGTGCAAGTCGAAATGTGGAGCCCAAATCTCATAAAAGTAAGCTCAGCAAGTTGATGAGTGCAAGAGAATTAGGGAGTAAGCTTGGCCAGCTCAGTTTGCTGTCAAAGATTGTGACAAGAGGTTCTGACAAAAAGGACACTGACAGAGACAGTGCGAGAAACAGCAAGGAAAACATGTCGCATGTTAACGGAAATTTTGATAATTCAAGTGTATGTGCAAGTGCAAGTTCAGCTTCAAGGTCAAATGCAAATAGGCCTAGTTCACATTCTTCAAATTCCACCAAGAGTTATGGACATAATGACAACACAAATGTCAATATCAACAGAGCTGTTCCGACCGAGGTTCAGATGAGGAAGGGAAACCCTGTAGTACGACCTTTGCACTTGAATATTTCTCACTCTGACGAGACTCATTCTGGAAGGTCATCTCGAAACTGTGCACAACCAGAAAGTCGTCTCGGAATGGCAGAAATTGGAGTGGCAAAACTTGAAATGGTGCCACAGCGTGCTCACCAATCCATTGTAAAAATTAGAAAAGGACCATATTCCAAGAGCACTTCTGATCTTAGTCCTCAAAAGGCATGCAAGTCAAAGCGATGGAGTGAAACAGGGTTTGGAGAGGAGGAGGGAGAAGAAAATGTGGAAAAAGGGATTCTTAACTTTAAAAGGCCGGATTCGCTTTCATTAAAGGGACATAACTACACGTCACAAAAAAACTTGGGGGAATCAAAAACTTGCTCAGATCTGAGTCTCCTGGTGGAGAATTCCAAAATGGAGGACTGTAATGGGGTTTTCCTGATAGAACCCAAGACCAAGATCAAACACAGGGTCAAGACTCCATTGTCTTTGAAACATGGACGGTTTTCACTGTATGATGATAGACTGATGACAAAATATTTTATGGAGCATCCCGAGCTCATACAGGACAAGGTTTGTAAGTCTAGTGCCAGTCTGCAGGAGCTTATGTTATTGGACAGAAATGCCAATTCCTTCATGGCCGCAGACCACAACTGTTAGTGCTTTGTGTAGTAGTGAAAATGTGTCGGTAAGTCGGGCAAAGAATGCATTGGAAAGTCAAGATTGTCACGGTCGTTGAATAGTATTAATTGCGGTAATCTCAGTGTGGCATTACATTTTCAGTGTTTCTGAATTTGAACTGTATGTGATTGTAGAATTCTTAAAGATATCCAATCACTTTTCTAATTGTGCAATTAAAACAGTCATCTTGTAATGGTGTGTCTGTGAATAAGGGTCCTGTGTTTTATGTTGGATCACCTAAATGGTATATACTACTCTTTAATGGCTGATTGTAAATGGCTTTTCTCAATGGGAAGTTGAAATAAGCTGAAAAGGCATTTTGATAGACAGGAGATTGTTGGCTTTGTAATGCTGCAAGTGAATCAGTAGATTAAAATTAAATTTGTATCACTGGAAGGTTGTAAATAGTATTCGTTTTGAACAAAGTAAGGATTTTTTTCCCCATTTTTCTTTGTCCTTATATTTGTTAAGTTTTCTTTTCTGTTTGTAATTGGACAACAACATCATAATTTTACCAGGCAAATTTTTGGCTTTTTGACAAATATAATACCCAAACAAAATACTAGTAAATTGTTCAGATTTGCCTATAGTCCACTGTATTCAACCTACTAAACCGGCCCCTGTCTCCAACCCCTACTAACCCCACCCCCTACTATCCCCACCCCCTACTATCCCTGGCTCCTACTATCCCCACCCCCTACTA